GGGATGATGTTGGAGGGTTCCTGGCACCCGGCGCCAGCTTCAGGAGAGGTTCTCTGGCCAGGCTGCGTGCTCTCAGGCCAGCTCAGCCAGTAGGATCAAAAAGGGTGATCATTCTTGGTAGGCTGTGAGTGAAACAGGCTGGAGATGTCCTGGAACAGCTCTCAGCAGGCTGGAAGCCTACACAGCCACTGCCACTCCAGCACACAGCACCTGCAGTCTGGCTTGCTCTGGAGCCATGGTACCTCTGATTTTGGGATACAGCTTCCTATCACTTCTGCGTCTAAAATATCACAACACGCTTCATTCTGACATCTTTCTCTATGCCTCCTGAGCCTCTAGTTTACCCTTAGGCCAGATTTTCTGGCTTTTTTTTTTTTTTTTTTCTGCAAACATTGGGGTAGAAACAGAAAGCATGACAGGACACCTCACCTCCAGGAACAGGGACCACAGGCACGACATGACTGCTTGGCTGGCAGGAAGGACCAGCCCCGATAGACCTCTCTGTCCTTCTCCTACTCCCCTCACTGGCTGTGCAGCTCCACTATCACCCAAAACATGCTCCACAGCCACCTGCACCCATGCCTTGTGGTGGGATTCCCGTGGGATCGCTGCATCCCTCCGTGGCTCTGCCAGAGCAGCTCCTGCTGGCCAGCAGTGGGATGAGCAAAGACCCCTCAGGATTTGGCCCATGGAATGGGACACTCTGCTCTGGTTGCTGCCCTGCAAAGGGGTGTGCCATAGGATGGCTGCCCGTGGGCAGGGTGCTGCAGCCCCTTCTCCGGGCTCTGCAACCAGGAGCCATGCTGGATGTGTTTCCAAGGCAACAGGCAGGCTGTCTGCACAGCGATTCGCTCAGAAGGTGGGTTGAGGTGTGCATGGTGGGGATGCTCCAGAGCTGGGCATGGTAGCAGCTGGTCAGGGCTAGTGTCCCCACATCTTGGGCTCTGGACATGTCCCAGCATGCCCAGGCCACCACATGCTCTGGCTGCTTCAGGAGCTCCAGTACCCAAGCCACCTCTCCAAAGCTCTACAGCATGGTGATGCTCCTTGCCCCACTCCCACCCTCCAGAGAAGGTGGTCAGACTGTGCCCACACCCCACAGGAACAGCCGTGGCCCTGAGACCCTGCAGTTAGAATGACAAGGGTGTAGCAGGATGAAGAAACTCCCGCACCTCCTGAAGGCTGCACCTCTGGGTGGGCTGTGTGCAGTCCCTATTACAGACTGGGACAGGTGGCCACAGCCCTGGGACTCACCTCCAGGACCCTGCCGCTGATGTACCGGTCGCAGGTCTCACACTTGATGCCAAACTGGGCATGGTAGTCGGACTCGCAGTACGGGATGCCATCCCTTTGGGAGAGGGAGGAGAAGGGGGTGAGAGGTCGCGGTGGGCGAGCCGGCTGGGCACCTCCTTGCTGCAGCCCCAGAAAAAAAGGGGCGGCACGCCCATGCCTGCCACCGGGACGGTGGCACTCACTTGCTGATGTACTCGCCAGTGAGGATGATCCCGCACGTTTGGCACTTGAAGCAGCTGACGTGCCACTGCTTCTCCAGGGCCAGGAGAGACTGGCCTTGCTTGATCTCCTCCTTGCAGCCTGCGCAGTCTAGGGGGACAGAAGGTGGTGGGAGCGTGGGATCACGGCAGCTCCCCGGCGAGGGGCTCAGCACCGCGGCAGGAACACCCACATCTGCTGGCCCACACCAAGGCACCCCAGCTGTTTAGCCCGGCACATCCCTTGCACCCAGAGGCCCCAGAGGACCCCCTTTTTCTAGAGGATGCTGCTGTTATAAACACCCTGCTCCAGAGACCACTTCAGGGGCAGCCTCTTGGGGATCATTTCTCCATGGCAATATGGCACCTCTGCTTGTTCCCAGCAAAGGAGCCAGGAGGAAAGCCTCCTGTTGGAGCTGGGACCTCCAAGGCACCACTGGCACCCAGCCGCCCTGGCGAAGCACCCACCACAGCACAGAGCCAGGTCTCCTTGCCAGGTGGCGAGCTTGAGCCAAGGCAAGTGTGTGGGCTGCCATGGCCATGCTGTCCCAGCAGGTCCCCAGGGGCGGGAGCGGTGGGAAGCGTCCACCGTTTCCCCCCCGCCAGCCGCATCCGCCCCTGCTGCAGTATTTACGAGACTCTTCCTTCCCCACTTCCCCTGGCTCCTGTCAAGGCTGGGAGCAGGAAGCACACGGGCCTCGGACCCCTGACCTTGACTTCTTCTTGCCCTCCTCTCCCCCTGGGCAGCAGGTTTGCCCGGATGGGTTTTTTTCCTTAACCCCTCTTAACCCTCAGTACTGCCTGAGCAGGAAGGCTCTTCCACTCCTCTCTATATCAAGCCCCTGCCCCCCACTTCCCCTGGCTCCTGTCAAGGCTGGGAGCAGGAAGCACACGGGCCTCGGACCCCTGACCTTGACTTCTTCTTGCCCTCCTCTCCCCCTGGGCAGCAGGTTTGCCCGGATGGGTTTTTTTCCTTAACCCCTCTTAACCCTCAGTACTGCCTGAGCAGGAAGGCTCTTCCACTCCTCTCTATATCAAGCCCCTGCCTGCTGGACAAAGCTAAGTGGGGAGAACTTTTGATCCCTGGCAAAAAGCAGGCTGGCCAGCTTGGCTGAGCCAGGATCCGTTCCCTCTCTCACACAGGTCCTACTGGTTTTTGAGCTGCTCGCAGGGCTGGGGCTGCAGAGGGAGGCTCAGCATCCTTTTTCTAGGGATATCCTCCCCACAGAGTGCACCAGCGCGGGCTTCAGCAGGCACACCTCCTGTGTTATCCCTTCTGGGTGGCACTGCCAGGGCCACCTAGGCCACAAGGGACACATGCAGGCTACATCTGGCTGAAAAAATTCTCGCCGCTACCTATGAATAAAGCATGGTGCCCTCAGGTAACCCTGCTCTGCAGGCCTGCAAGGAGGGGACAGGGAGGGAGAGGAAGGCAGGCGAGAGGCAGAGAGTGTGGCTGCCCTTCCCTTGCTGCTGCCCTGGCCCTGCTACAGGAGACAGCAGGGTGCTGCAGGCTGGCCACAGCCTGCCTCTGGGCAGCTTGAGGTGCCCATGGAAGATGATGTGGGAAGCCTTGTCCTCTGGCTGGGGCTCATTCAAACCCCGCCATGTCCCCTAACTCCATTGAGGCCATGGGGAGAGCTGGGGGAAGGCAGCTTGGGGGGTCCCAGGGACCCATCAGCACATAATTCAACTCAAACAGCCACCACCACTGCCACCATAGTGATCAGGTGACAAGGACCATGGGTGACACCACGGTCCTGGGTCTACCCCTGGCTGCAGGGCTCTGGTTCAGGCATTGACGTGCCAGGGCTTGCTGAACTGCAGCAGCAAGAGCCCCCCCAGCTCTGCCTGCTGACGTGGCAGGGTTTGGGCACCATGCTGTGGCACAGCTCCCGGCTCTCCCTGCCTTCTGCCACCTGCCCACGCACTGCGCTGAGACAGCTCCCCTGGGACTTGACGGTAGCAAAAATGGGGCATATGGGAGACAGTGAAGCATGGCCCACACGTTAACGCTGCAGTCTCCTTGCTCTGGATGCAGGCTGAAGTGAGCCCTGTGTGCAGCAGCTCCATGCCGCAGGGATGCTCTACCAGCCCCCAAGCACAGCACCCACAGGATGCTCCACAGTGGCCCGGAGCAGAGAGCCAGCAGCAAGGAAAAACTGTGGGGGTCAAAGTATGGCATGAAAAGAAGGTATCCCAAGGAACAACCTGGGGTTAAAAGCAAGGCCAAATACATGCAAAAGAGCTTTTCCATTGCTCTTGCTGAGTTTTAGCTTGGGTTCATCACTGCAACGGGATAAGCGTAAGAAGCCTCTCAGTGCTTGTCTGTGCATTGAGTAATGCCAGTGTTGGGAAAGCCGGACTGGCAGTCGGACACAAAGCAAACCTGGGCACTGCCTCAGAGCAAATCCAGCTCCAAAACCTCCCTGCTGCCCCAGATAGCTCCAGTCAGGGTGGCAGCATCTGCCCAGGTCACGAACAGGCCAAGGGAGTTTCCGAAACCAGTGGTGACCTGCCGTCCTGCGTGGAGCTGTGGGTCTACCCTGTTCCTCCTCCGAAACCTCTGCAAACACCCGTGGCTCCATGCAGCGCTGCATGCTAGCCCCAAAGCCCATCCCATCACCCCTCGAGCACTGTTCAGGGGCGCATGGTCCCTCTCCTTGCAGCCATCACATAACACGAGAGCAGTGAACTTACGGCTGGGCCCGTGAATCTTGATGGGTTTGGTGCTGATGAGAGAGTGGGAGCAGTTTTGGCAGACACAGTCCTTCCCGCTGAATGTGACCTTGTCTCCAATCGGGAATGGCTTCCTATGGCCAAGGAGAGGTGGGGAGGCGTGAGACACTGGGGCTGCCCATGAGCTCCTTCCCCAGTGGCCACCGGGACCCATGGTGTGGGGAAGCAGAGGGGCTCCAGGCAAGGGCTACAAGGGTGTGCACGTGTGCTGGAGCAGAAGGACCGAGGCAGGCACTAAGGCAGGTCTCCAGGATGCAAAGGGAAGGGTCGGAGCCATTTCATTGCCTCCCAAGTGTTTCCACTAAGAAAACACAGAGGAGGTGCCTGCTGCAGTGCTGAGTGGGGAACGAGGGGCTGCGGGCAAACAAGCAGCCTTGTCCCTGAGGCACAGCCAAGGGTGGCACAGGGCTTCTGCAGGGGGTTCACGTACCCTCAGGAATGGCTTCAGCTCACCTGCAGGTGCTGCAGACAAAGCACTTGGGGTGGTAGGTCCTCCCCAGGGCGGAGATGACCTCTCCGGTGATGAAGTCCCCGCAGCTGTCGCAACGGGTCCCGTAGAGCTGCTGGTAGTCGTGGGTGCAGATGTACTCCTGGTTCTTAAAGAAGAAGCCCGACTGGGCCAGGTCGCAGCCGCACACTGCGGGGGGAGGACACACACCCATCAAGGGGGCAGCCCCGGCCGGGATCCCCGAGCCCACCTCTGCCGCCCGTCCAGCACCGCTCCCACGGCAGCCCTGAGGCCACAGCTCTCTGCAGGCATCTCGGAGGGTTTCCCGTCCCACCAGCCGCGCGGGGCCCTTCCCTGGCACCACCAGGTGTCAGTGTCGGGGACGCCCCGCACCCCCGCGACCCCCCGCGCACGGCCCACAACCAGCCTGCGGGAGCCCCTGGCATCCCCGCCTGGACCCGCGGCACCTGGCTGGGGCTCAGCCCCTCCGTTTGACACTCCCATGGTGTCTGGAAGCTGAGTACAGGACTGGTGAAGAGCGGGGCATGCCCTAGGGACATCTGGGGAGGGGTGTTCTCCATGCCCTCAGGCACAGCCTTCTCCATGGTGAGCCATGTCCGCTCCCTGGCCTGGACGTGAAGCCGTGCCCTAACGGGAACAGGTCCTGGGACACACTGGGGTTGGTGCTCTCACTGCTTGTTTTTCCATAGGTGTCCAGCCCAACCTCGCTTCCTTCCTCACTGTGGGAACCGTGGGTGGTGCACAGCCCATCAGAGTAATCCAAGGAGACGTGGCAAGCCCCGGCCATTAGTGTCATTTCCCTCCTACGTCTTCTCCATCCACAGAGAGACCTCGAGAACATGAGACCCTGGAAGACACCTCAGGGGTGGCACAGGGACCAGGGCCTGGGGCCTTTGCACAATGCCCATCACCTGTCCTGCAAGGTGACAGGGTGGAGGTGGGGACTACAAAGCAACTGAGCGCCCGCTGGCACAGCCCATCTTGGTCTCCACTTTACCCTCCAGCCCAAGCACCCCTCTGTCCTTGCACACCCCACCTGCAGCTGTATGCCAGCCTGCATAGCAGCCACACTCTGTAGGGCACAGCTGGACCACTGGCTGCAGGCCCCACAGGGGCAGAGACGCAGCTCCTCTGCTGCAGAGCATCCCCTGGCAAAGCTTCTCCCCAGAGCTGCAGGCAGATAGCTGGAGGGTACAGGGCCAGCACCCACCACTCTCCAAAACAGCCTGCCAGCACTTCCTCATCAGTGGGGAGGGACAGGCCACCAGCTCTGGGATAGCATCAGGAAGCAGAAGAGAGAAAAAATGAGGCAGGTCTGGGCCCCATTTGCTGTGGGACCCCTGCATCCCCAGGGGCTGCACCAGCTGTGCCAGGCTCCTGGGGACATGGCAGGGACAAGCTGTGGCGCTGGCGTGGGAGCTGGTAGCAGCCAGCCAGAGGTGGCAGGGGGTAAGAGCTGTGAGGGAAGGTGAGACAGGAGGATTTCCTCTCATTATTTATTCCCTTTCACTTGGAAATCAGGCAGTGAGCACTGCCAAGCTCTCCCTGCCTGCTCCTGGGCCCTTTGAAGCTGGTGGCTGGCTGAGCTCTTTGTCTGGATGCGCAGCTCCTGCTGGATCCTGCGCACCGAGCTGGAAAGGGGCTCAGCACTGTGCCCTGAACACGAAGGTCAGCTCTGAGGGCAACCTGAGGTCCACACCCTCTCCCAGAGATGCAGGGCTGCCCACACCATGGGGGACGAGGCTGCAGCAGGGGTAGTGACAGCCCAGGGGAAGAGGAGTCCCCTCCAGACAAACTCTCCATCCCAGGGGTAGAGCAGCAAAGGCCAAGGGGACAAGGATTTATGTTCTGCTTAGCACAAGGTGCTGCAAGCTTGGAAGACCAGAGACTTTTAAAAAGCCCTGGTAATGGCATGCTTTACAACCTACAGAAGCAGCCGCTGGCCTGGTTGAGA